AGTTCACGTATATCTTTTCTTTTATTTACATTTAGCCTTAAAAGATACGTGTATCTACATCCCAAACAACACATGAGTATGAAATTCATATTTTAGGGTATGTATATGAAATAAGCATGTATTATACCAATAAAAATGTATTACACACACGATAGAATGACAGAACAACATAGATTAAGAAACTTTATAATTTTTGCCGTAGAATTAAAACAAATACATTAAAGTAAGTAGTACAGTTAATAGGTAAGCATAATAAACAACTGAAGGAATAACTACTACAATTAAAACTCAAAATAGACATAAACTGAATGGTTACTTGCTCCATTGACACCTTGTACTTTAATTAATTAAAGGACCGCAAATTAACTAAATTTTTTATTTATTATCAGTTTAGCTTCAAATTAACTAAATTTTTTATTTATTATCAGTTTAGCTTCAATTTAACTAAATAAGAACAATGGGTGAGAGATTCTTATCTTGAATTGATGTCCAGAACACCATCTTTTTTACTACAATTTTCGGTTCTTAGATTTCTTGAGTTTTCTTACTAAGATTGAAATGTACGTTAAAATAGTGTAAAAATACACGAAAAATGGCTAAAAAGACAAAAAATCTCACCGGGGGGTCGGGTTAGTGTTCCGGCACGATAGCGTTGTTGTTCTCCGCAGCTGGGTCCTCCTTCTTCGGCAGCTCCTCTCAGTGGGGCCATTTTTTGCTGGTTTTTAGATAAAATCTATTTAAATCATAGTTAAAAGGTGTCTATCGGTGGAAAGAGAAAAAAAAACGAATCTTACTAGTGGTTTTGGTTTTTCAGTGCGGTGGCTCAGCCGGGCTCCGCCATCCATCCCTCATGGTTTACAGCTTTTTTAGTCACCCTGCATCAGAAACATGTTAGATGGCTAAAATGCGAAGAAAATAGAATGAACGGGAAGAGGATACAACTTACCGGAGCATTTTTCGATCTCTGGTGAGCGGCTAAGCTGAGCTCCGTTGTTCCTTCCTCGTGGGTCGCAGTTGTTTTTGGTTAATCTGCATAAAAATCGTATTAGGTAGTTAAATGACAGAGAAACGGGAAGAACGAGAAGAAAAATTGCACTCACTAGCGTATTTTGGGTCACCGGTGCAGCGGTGTCGGTGGTTGGGCTTCTCCTCCAGCCACCCTTCTTCTTCTTCTTCTCCGGCGAGTGGGTGTGCAGCTAAGGTTAGGGTTTCGGGTGGAAGAGGCATTTTGTAGTAACTGAAAAAAAAGGAAAAAGTGGGGAAAAACGACGTCGTTTTGAAAGGAAAAAAACGACGTCGTTTTGAGGAAGCAGGTGATATATAAATAGGGGATGGGAAATAAAAGAAAGAGGGAAGAGAAGGAAAAAAAAGGGAAAGAAAAGAGAAAAACATAAAAGGAAGAGAGCGAGAAGGAGAAAAGAAGAGGGAAAGGAAGGTTCGAGAAAGAGAGAGAGGGGAGTCGAAGCAAATAGGAGCGAAAAGGGAGAGAGAAGAAGGAAGTGGATGGTGACAGTGCGATTGGCGGGAGGAAGGAAGATGGAAATGGGAGGTACGGTAAAAATTTTAATTGTGTAGGTGCTGTGTGATTTTGAAATATTGGTTGTAGCTTGAGGAATCCAGGTAGTTAGTATGTAGTGTGGCGGAACTGAGAAGTGGAGGTAGGCGGTGTAGAGTATGGGTTGAACAGGGGAGACGTTCACGGATGAGGTCGTGAGAAGGGAGATGATGGTGACGTTGGGGTGTACAAGAGATCCGTGGGAGAGAGTGGAGGTTGTGTGAGGTGAGTGTGATCACATAGTGAAGGTCACTGGGAGAGAGAGTGAGTGAGCAAGTTAGCATATGTGGGAGATCCGAGATGACGATGAGAGTTTGTGTGTGTGAGCGGGAGTGCGGAGGGAGCCGCGATAGGAGAGAGAAGGAAGAATGTCTTCAGTGAGTGTCCCGTGAGAGGGATGACTGTTGGCAATTGTGACGGTGTGAGTAAGGATGTTTCGAACAAGCCTTATGAGGTAAAATAATAAGGGAAGCGGGGCATGAAGGCTGTGAGGGAGAGGAGAGTTCAAGACTGTGCGATGGAGTGGATTGTGAAATAGGAGATCGGTGTGTATAAAGAGATTCGGGTGAGGGAAGAGGCGTGTTATAGCTATAGAGAGAAGTAGGTCTAAAGGGGGAGGAAAATGTAGCTGCTAGAGATTGGGATTGCACAGGAGGGGCTCTTAAGGTGTGGTTTAAGGTGGGAGAGTAGGGATGTGTTGGTAGTTGTGTAGTGTGAGTGTATGGAGGGGATATAGGTTGGTATAGCTGCTGTAAATTTAAAGGTTGGTCACCGGCGTATGCGTGAAATATTGGTGTGTGTCGTTAGGGGGGGGGGGGACGCCGATATTGGTGTCACTATTTAGAAAGAGTAGGTTGATCATCGATAGTGGTGATGGTCGGGAGACCCCGACGGGTAAGGGATTGGGTCGCCGATGTTGGTGACATGAGATAATGGTAGTTGTGTGTGTGTGTGGCTTATTAGGGTCGAGAGGTAGAGGAGTGAGTATGGGTCGCCGATGTTGGTGACGTGAGATAATGGTATTTGTATGTGTGTGTGACTTATTAGGGTCGAGAGGTGGAGGAGTGAGTATGAGTCGCCGATGTTGGTGACGTGAGATAATGGTATCTGTGTGTGTGTGTGTGGTCTATTAGGGTCGAAAGGTAGAGAATTGAGTATGGATCACCGATATTGGTGATGAACGTAAACAGGGGTGCTCAGGGTGTGACTTCGGCAGGGGGTCACGTTTGATACGCAATATGAATAGCCTACCGGGATAAGTAGGGTTGGTGTTGCACTAGAGTAGTGTTAAGACAGGATGTAGGTGGTATAGATAGGGTACCTATGGGGGTACTGGATTTGCTATTGTTATATGTGTTACTGATAACCATAATTGGACTTTCGGGGTAGGTTCATGATGGCTAGTTCTAGGGTGGTTCTGAGGTATGACTTAGGTTATGTAGGAGAAATGCATATAGACATATTGAATTTCTTGTCATTGCATATTATACCTACAACTTGATTATTATCGTATTGAGTTATGTGAACTCACTTCTTATCATTAACAGATGAAGTAGGGATGGAGCGGGGATCTGAGTTGCTGGTTGCTGAGCCTAGTCTTTAACGCCATAGGACAAGGGTTTTCTTTGTAGCGGGTTGTAGTGTGTAAAAGTTTATATTAGTATGGATATTGTTTGCTTGAGGTATATGATATGGTTTTGTCATTTGATGTATATGTAGAATTGTAAGTTTACATTGGGTTTGAACAATGAAATGTAGACAAGTTTTCTTTGTGTGTGATTAAACTGGCATGGGACTTGGGTGTTGGGTCATGGGATTGTTTTATCTTACGCTATTGAAAGAAAAAAAAACGGGGCGTTACACGTTTAAATACTCCCATTCCCTCGATCTGGGCCATCCATCCGGGTCCACGTATAGCCTCCTCAACTATCCGATTGCGCTTATTAAGAAAACATATATGGGTCGTTCGATTGAAGACGCGTGGGCTATCTGATTGTACTTATCCGAGAAATCAATCTGGACCGTTCATGCCCGGAAGAGTGAACACGGGCGTTGGATCGCCCGCGTGGAGCCCGTGTCAGCATGTCCGTCACACAGCGCGTTCTGATTCATCGTGCTGCTGACGTGACTGTCTTATGTGGCCCGCATTTCTCCTTTTTACGATTTGATCCCTGTTTTCAAATTTTTTTTTTCAAATACACCACCCTTTTATTTATAGTTTCACTATGTTTTCTAAAATTATTTTAAATTTCATTCAAAATCTATATGTTTAAAAAATAATTAAAATTAACTCTTTTTATTATTATTAAAAAATTAAATTACATCATTTCGAGTTTGGGGTGTTACATATTACAATTAATATTTTTTAATTATATAGAATAAAAACTATATATATATTAATGAAAATAATTAAAATATAAACCTATGATATCTATATTAACCAAATATAATTTTTTACTATTTTTCCTTTATATTTTTATATAATTTATTTTATGAAGGAGAAAAATAAAATAAAATAAATATTATTATAGTAGTTATATTAAAGATAAATGACGCATAACTCAAAATTAACAATACAATTTGAATTCACGCATACACAAGTAACACAATAAATTTATTCTTCAAACAAAATATTATTATTTAACACACAATCAACATATAATTACAACTTAAGTAATTTGAATAAATGAATTAACTATAATATCACCAAAAAAAATTTAATAAGTTAAAATTAATTCAGTGAAAGAAATTGATAAAAGTATCACAATTTACCTTAATTAGTAAACATCAATTTCTCACTCAATAAAAATATTTGAGAAATCTCACAAATCGACAATCTAGCTACCGTTTATAGAACTTATAAAATCTATAATTAATTGATTTGTTACTTCTATGCTTTGTAATCAATATATAATGTTTATTTATAGATATAAGTAATAAGAATTACAATAAAAATTAAATTTATAAAAGAACTCAATTATTTATATAGGAAAATAATAGATAAAAAAATTATATACGATAAAATAATATTATTATATTTTTATTCGTTTTGTATGTAAATTATAATTTTAAAATAAATATAAATTATAAATTTTGATCTAAAATTTTAAAGAAATAAATATTATTCATATTATCAAAATTATTTTTATATTTAAAAATCATATAATGCATAATTTGTAATCAATTAAATATTAAAATTTTATTTTTATATTTAAAATAGGAGTAGGTAAAATTAAAAGTTTTATATGAGAATAATATATAATGATAATTAATTAAAAATTATCTAAAAAATAAAGAATGCAAACTCATAGTATTACTTATATATATATATATATTTTACTAATTAGGAATTAAATTGTAAATAATGAAAAAAACTACAAAAGTTGAGCACCAAAATGCTATTTAAGCTTAACGATTCAACAATTACCGCCATTTGCACATTTCCAGAAAATCCCGCCATTTCGAGCATAGACGCTAAACCTTCTTGCTCCCTCACTATCGCATCTCTCTCGTCTACAGTGAGTTGATATTTTAGTTTAACCTGTTCATTTTGTTTTCCTAGTGATTTGTTGTGGAAATTTGAGTGGATTTTCTAGTTACGATGATTCTATAGAGGAATTCAACTGGAAGTGATGTTCATATCAGATGACTGGCTTACGCGAAATCCCCATAGTTGGACTGCTATTTCTCCGCCATGTTATTTGGGAATTTCAAGCTCACATGAACGGGGAGCTTTCTTTGTAATCTATATAGATTTGGAAATAATATTTCGAGACGAACTAAGAAGAAACTGTGAAACTAATTTCCAAGGAGTTCTGTTTATGTGTAAATCACACTGTTGAGATTTTGAGAGGTTTTTAATCAGAATAGCAGATCTCAAAGACAATTTCGATATTCTGTTTTGTCCAGAGGAACCAAAATAGCTTCATGTTTGGAATGCATATATATTTTACTGCCTGTGATTCTTCTTTCATTTTTAATCTTCTTTTTTTTGTCTGAGTAAATTGAAATTACATTGTTGAAATTCATCGGATATGAATGTATAAGCACTCCCAGTATATCAATAACGGGTGTAACAATTGTGAATCTCGATATAATGTAGGTTTGTGAGGAACTGCTCGATTATGGATTCGCATACTCTTAAGTCCGTGTCAGATTTGCCTGCACCATTTCGATCAACTTTTAGTTTCAGGTAGTAGGCCTGTTTTATCAGTTATCATCGATTTGCTGTGAAAATCAGCCTGTTCACCATTCTCGCTGCCTGTATGTTGGAATTGATTTTTCTTTGTGTGGCTTTATATGTACTCATCTTCGTCTAGTATTATCCCAAGGTTTATTCGCTTGGTTGAAGGATATAACGGAGATTTCGCCTGTTTACATAATCCATTGCTTGCCAGAGTTGAGCAATTGCTTGTTTCCAACATGTTAGTGCAGACTGCAGATCAGTCTCGAGCGGCTTCCTATCAGTGTGCATCTCATTATCCAGCATATTAATGTGTTTTCTTCTCTTACTATGCAGGTATTTTAATTCACTGCAGAGCGAATGTTTTCCTCTTTGTTTCCACTCCGATATAAACATGGTTGTTTCAGCACCGACTGGAAGTGGTAAAACAGTGCTCTTTGAGCTTTGTGTTTTGAGAGTTCTATCAAAGTTCATCTCTAAGGATGGGAAGTTTGCTCATTTAAAGGGAACCCTTAAAACAGTAAGTTTTCAATACGATGGTCCCCAGGTGAGACATGCTCTAGATAGTTACTTTACTGTAGCACTTCATTAACTAGAGAGTCCTTTTTTTTTTTTTTTTTTTCTGAAATAATTAACTGGACCTCCTGTTGTTTCCTTAATGATCAATTTTGAATGGAACCATAGAGTTTTCTGGTGTAAGGATTTAATTTAATTTTCTCCTTTTAAAGCTGAACCACCTGTCTGCAATTTTCCAGTTGCTCTTTTATGTTCATTCTCTCTAATATTATTTGTGATTCCAATTTGTAACAAAGTGGTGCAAACTTTAATTAATTGGACTTCCCATGTTACTTTCTCCTCTGTCTATTTCATTATATTAGGATAGAAGATAACTGATATTCCTACCTATCTGCGGTTGAACTGTTCTTAGTTCTCTTTATTTCTTTCATTTTGTTGTGAAGATCTATGTAGCCCCTTCTAAAGCTTTAGTGCAAGAGAAGCTACGTGGTTGGAACCAAAAGTTTGGTTCATGGGGAATAAGTTGTCTGGAGCTGACGGGGGACAACGACTCCAGTATAAGGAATATACAAGAGGCAGACATTATTTTAACCACTCCCGAGGTACATAAAATATGAGATGGACATGTATATCCAAATGAAAGAAAAATCAACCAACTGAATAAAATACCAGCATGACATTCAGGTGTTGTTATAAAAAGGATTATCTTTCTGAGTTTTGAATTATGTTATTGGATTCACATAGTATCCTTCTTTATTTAAGTAAATTTAACCTTATTGAGAATATCATATACAAAAATATAATGTACTATGGGAAATAACCTATATACATGTCCTATTTAGGATGCATATCCTATTATGATTAACTCCTTCCTCAAACTCAAAGGTGCACTGTTTGATACCAACTTGACTTGGAAAACCAAGTCTTAGAAACGACCAGAAAAATGATTCTTGATAAAAAATTTAACTTTCTGATTTAATGAGGATATGAGGATAAAACTAATAGTATAGTGAGTAACATGATGAAGAATAAAGTAACCATCAGTTTAGATACATTGAGCATGTTCATGAAACACATTATAGTAGGCAGTTTAAACAACACTTTGATTATCACAGTTTAGAACAGTAGTAAAAGATGAGCAGTACCCATTTCTTATAGTAGCCAATAGAACCAAACTATTTCAGAAGGGGCATCAACAAGAACACAGTGCTCAAGTTTTGTGCTAAAGCAAGTTATAAAATTTGCTTTTTATGCACCAAGAAATAAGATAAACTTGCAAAAAGAAGCAATGTCTAGAAGTAGAGCAATGCCAATAGAATTTCCTACCCAATTGGCATCAGTCTCCTGATGGCACTAGTGAAGACTTAGCAGGAAATAAAGTACGTAAAAAAGTCCCTTAACATAGTGAAAAATCTAAAGAATAGTTGCAAAGTGACAAGAGTGAGAAACAATCATAAATTGACTGACTAAATGAACTACATAAGTAATGTTAGGTCTAGTGACAGTGAGATTAATAAGACTCAACTAATTGTATATACACAGTCGGATTAACAAGAGGGATATCATTTACAGGGGTGAGTTGCACATTAGGTTTCACCTCCTAGGTTTTAAAGATGTGTCTATAGTTTTACTAGCACAAGAAAGTAAGTCACAAGTATATTTAACGTGAGAGAGATAACACCCATCATACTTGGAGCATAATTCAAGACAAAGAAACAAGAACACCAAGATCTTTCATTTCAAAGTGCTAACTAAAATATAGGTGTATGATGAAATATATGCTACATCATCACCCATCACAATTCATACCATCAACATAGAGTAGCAATATAACAATGTCATGATTAATGCGTTGAATAAATAGGACCATAAGGACTAGAGATAAAACCAAAATTGAAGATGTTAGAATTGGATTTGGCAAGCTAAGTTTTTGGTGCTTATTCCAATCCATATAAATCTTGCTGAAGTTGACAAAGCTTGTGAGAAGGATGAGATTACTGGAGAAGATGATGTATATAAATTTCTTTTGTTCCTTTTTTCAGATCCTTAAAAAAACATTTTCACCTTCATTTAAAGAATACGTCATTTTTAGCAACAATAGTGGTTAAGAAATTATGGATAACAGTCAATGGAGCCATATGAGCAAAAATTTCTTCATAACAATATCATATTCTTGAAAATAGCTCTTGGTCACCGAGCATGCTTTGTAATATTCAATAGATCCATCATGATCTTAAAAAATGATTTGCAACAAATTGCAGTCTTACCAAAGGAAAGATTAACTAACTCTCACGTGTAAGTTTTTCCAATGCCTTAAGTTCTTCTTCCATAACTTGCTGCCAAAGTGGACCAATACTTGCCTCATAAGAAGAACAAGGTTTATACAAGATTAGAATACTAGAAAAGCAATGATAATCACTGAGATAATTAGGTGTCTCTCTTACCCAAATAGAACTACGAAGAGTGAAGTTGAGTCAAGGATAGAGACAATAGCTGCAGCATGTTAAGAATGGTTAATGTATGTTCTATTTAATATCACGATCCTTTATATACAACTTTTATAGAATAAAAAAAGAAATAGACAATTAATTATGCTTGGCTGCATGAGGTGTGTTTTACTCTTATATCCTTTAACCTAATTTATACTTTTCTTAATCCTCCCCTTCAAGTTGGGTTATAAATATTGTTCATTCCTACCTTATTAATAAGAATGTTGGATGTTGGATTGCTCAGGCTTTTAATCGACATCTACTAGTTGTGAATTGGTTGACATTAATCGAATGTATGTTAGTCATTATCAAGTTTTTCTTTGATAAAGTGTTTATCGATATGATATATTTGGTTTCGGTCATGTAGTACCGGATTGTTTGTAATGCTTATGAGTGACTTGTTATCACCAATATAGATGCATGGAGTTTTCTCACTTGATTTTTAAATCTTCTAAAAAATCTTTTTATTCATAGTAGTTCACATACTATTTATGCAATTTTTAAAATTTTTATTCTACACTCTAACAACTATGTTTTGCTTCTTATTTCTCTAATAACTAGTCGTCTCAAAAAAAGTACGGTAACATGTCATAGATCTTCTGTTTACAATTGATTTTACATAATCTGTATCCATATAGGTTTCTAGAAACAATTTATCACTCTTCATGAACATGATTCCTTTCCCAGGTGATCTTTTTAGATAATACAGTACTCTGAAAGCTATTTATAAGTGCACTTCTTACGTGAACTGACTTATAATACGTAATGCATAATTGATATATGGTTTTGTATGGAAAATGTATATCAATCTCCTAATTATATCTTTATTACATCTCCTTATCTACCGGTGTATCTTCTTCTATTACTCCTAATTATGACTAAGGTCAATAGAAGTACCAACTGGTTTACATACTGACTTGTCAATATTTTTGTTGAGAAATGAAGATCCCAGATTTTGAGCGGGCGACTTCAATTCTAAAGAAATATTTCAACTTACCTAACTCTTTAATCTCTTGGCAGAAATTACATTAGTATCAAATTTTCTTTCTCATAATCTCATTTACAATAATGTTATCAATGTTTATTAGGAGAATTGTAACTTCTCCTATCTCTGGGTGCTTGATAAAAAAAGTATAATATTCCTGAGTTTATTTAGATCTTGAATTTACCATCACCTTTACGAATCTAACAAACCATCGTCTTAGTGATTGCTTGAGTCTATATACTGCGTTGTTCAGTTTACACATTTTATTTGGTCTTGTTTCTTTTTTAAAACCTGGTGTATTCTCTATCTATATTTTTTCTTTCAAGGCTCCATGCAAGAAGATATTTTTCATTTTGAATTGTTGCAGTTACTAATTAAATTGGATAGCTAAGGATAACAAGATTCGTTACAATATTTATCTTAACTATTGGCACGAATGCTTCTTGGTAGTCTATTCGATAAGTCTATATATAGTCAGTTGGCACCAATCTTGTTTTATATCTTTCGACTGTTTCATATGTTTTGTATTTAATTGTAATACCTACTTGTATCCACATTTTTTTCCTTTGGGTAGATCTATTATTTCCATGTCTAATTTTTCTCTAGCACCCACATTTTCATATATTTTCATTTTTCACAAGTTAACGCCTCAGATACAGTATTATGAATAGACTCAATAATCAAACTTGTAAGGAAATTTTGTTGGAATTTTAAATACCTATCAAATAACATAAATTATGAGATGGAATAAATAAGACGTTTAGTGTATTCTTTAGTTCCTTTATGAAGTACAATAAGTATGTGATTATCAAATTGTACATGTTTTTTGGGGCTTGCCTCAGTTTTAGGGTCAGGGTTGGATACTTGTACCAACTTAGGCTCAAAACTTGTATTCTTCCTCTTTATATACATTTAAGTGAACCTGGGGTCCGGTATAGTCTGTTTTCTGTGGGTCCTTAAGACTTTCTTTTGTGCTTTCTTGTGGTGATGATGTTAGAGTGTGAGAAAAAAGTGGTACGATAAAGACCGTTAAGAATTCTGTATCTTTGTCTTTCAATATAGACTCTCTCTGAAGATAATGTTGAGCAAGATTTGATTTTTGTTAAAAAAAGTGATATTCGCAGACACGTAGAATTTCTGTGCAGATAGACAGTAATATTTATATATTTTTTTAGATGAGTACCCTACATCTACACATTTTAAGATCCAGGGATCAAATTTTTTCTTTTCTTAATGAGAATGAATATGAACGAAGGTAACACACCCAAATATTTGAGGGAATAGATGATTTGGGATACTTCTGGATAAAACTTGAAGAGTGCTTCTGGAAGGTTTTTGAAGTCTAGAATGTTTTTTTTTAAAATAAAAAGTATAAAAATATTTTTTACAAAATACCAAGGGGGCACCCCCATTATACAAAATATTTACAATTGTGTTAGGGAGTCAATGACATGCCCAAAATCTTCTATCCTGGCAATATTATGTTCAAACAAGATAAATCTAAAAAAATGCAATCATTTATCTTTAAGTTTACTATTCTTTACTTCTCTATTATCTAAGACTCTACTATTTCTTTTCTTGCATAATGCTCAAAATATAGTCAAAGGAACAATCTTTACAAAATCTCTGTTTTTACACAACCCATTCCAAGTCCAAACATCTTCCCTAACTGAACCCCCATGATCCAATTGATACTCAATAGTCCGTAAATCATACTCCAAAGGCTATAAGCAGTAGGACACCAAAGCAAAATGTGATTGCATGATTCTGCATTGCCCCTGCTTAAGCAGCATCTGTTAACCAAGGTTAAACCCCTCTTCATCAAATTATCGGTAGTCAAGATACTTTCTCTGCAAGCTTCTCACAAGAAGAAGGCTATTCTAGGAGGAGCTGAGTTTTTCCAGATTTGGATTGCCGGGAAGCAGTCATTCCTCCACTGATCATACGGCAGAATGTGAAAATAAAATGTCATGACCGAAAACTCTTGGCTCTTGCCTAGCTTTCACACAATCCTATCTTTGCATGTGTTAATCTGTTGTGTCTTCAAGGTATTCAGTAATGATTCATACTCATTCACCTCACAATCATTTAAGTTCCTGCAAACATTGACCATCCAAATCACATTCCC